GGATTCATGTTGTATGATGTTAACATACATGGTGCAATCAAAATACTTGCCTTGAAACTGATTTTTTTGCCTTTAAGGAGTACTTGTAAAAATAATTTTTAAACGTAATATAAATTTTAAAAAAACAAAAAGCATTAAAGAAAATCTACTTGACAACGGTTGTGCCAGATGATTTGACCGAGATCAAGCTCAACCGTAAGGTTTTTCCCTTACTTAGGCTGGGTTGCCCAAGAAGGGTCTACCTACCAAAGCCTATGCGGATTCACTTCTGATGTAAAAGAACATGAAACTTTATATATCACTATACACTTGACTTGATAGAAGATTGTCAACACTTTTCTAGAACTTACGGTATTACCATTAACTGAACCTACTAATTGTCAGTTTAATTACAATTCGGAATACCCGTTCCTAAATACTGAATCAGAGCATTTAACTCCTTCAGCCATCAAAACTTTATTATAGAGAAGATTATGGAGAAAAAATATAAATGCATGCTATAGTTTAAAATATGACAGATTGTAGTTTGATTCACAACAGTTAAATCGTTTCAGTAAGCTACAACTTCAAACTCGTGAAATATATAAAGATACTAAGTAGTGAAACTATTATGAAATACAAAGCATACAGTTTTAAAGGAAAGGCAAAATAACAAAAAAAATATTAAATTCTAATTATTATATACATAACATATTTTTTCTATCTATACTATAACGTTGATTAAACATGTATTTTTTAGAATTTAACATAATAAAACATTTTACCAAAATGTTATAATTGTGTCGTTGTTCCATTGGATGAGGCAAGATATTTTTATATAAATTTCAATTCAACATTTTTTTACAACTACATTTTATAATTAGAAGAATTTGAGAAGATAAACGTTACAATAATTATATAAATATTTGGACTTGGGAGTGGGCAAAATTGCCTGAAACGTTGTCAAAAAAATTATAATGAATTGAAGCATGAAGTAGAGTTGTAAGGATGAAGCAATTTTTTTTTTTTTAATTCCTGTCATAAAGAAACCTATATATCTGTGCCCCGGAGGTAAAGGACAAAATGTACATTTTTTAACTAAATAATTTATTAACTAATAAATAAATTTTGCAAGCTCAAAGTTATGGATATGTGGCTCCCTCAACAAACATAAAAATGTGGGCTTACTTTACCTTCGGAGTACAGATATCTTATCATGAATTTCTTTAAATTTCTTTAGATGATCAAAACCTAGGAATAACCATTGACGAAAACCTCTCCCCATCTCCCAAAAGTCAATAGGTACCCTTAAGATATTTTATTGTTCCCGTAACCTTTATATACATTTTTAACACTTTCATATAATTTTTTTTACAATTACAACTAGCCGTCGCCAACAGAATGTAAGGTTTCACCGATCAGAATTATTGGGTTAACAGATATTTAACGTTAGAAATTGTGTAGACCGTTTTCAGACATCATCCATACAGAAAAAAATCTTCGCAACTGTTAATATAAAACCTACGTAATCCCTCGAGTTAAAAAAAACTTGAAAGACAATATTGAAGAGGTTTATTCATTTTAAATAAATCAAAGGCATCTGTGCCTGCACAGGTGGGACAAACAATGTGCAGATATCAGCTTTAAACACAAAGGTAATGGATATCACACAATTGAATATTATTAGCAGGAAAACCTTGGTAGGATCGTGGCTAGAATCGGGAGCACTGTTCCGTAATCCCGTGCGGGGGATAACTGCTCCTCATCCTTGGTCCCTTTCGCAAACGGGATATTTATAAACCACATTTACAATTTAATGAAGTAATTAGTGTTCTGGAATAATTTATTCCCCTCGTAAAGACGAAATATATATTTATAGGAGGTCATTTGGCACCCTTCGGACGGGGGATACGAGCCGGGCTTTAAATGCTGGATTTGTTCCCCGCGGTGGGGTAATTACGACGACAATAGGGACCAGGTAAAGCGATGCTACATTTAACCCTGTCAATGGAGAGAGGGATAGGGGAGGGGAAAAAAAAGTCCCGAGTCCCGAGCAGAGCAGGGAAATGACCTTGGGGTCAGCCACCTTGCCTGGAACCGCACCGTTCCACATTCCCTACCACCAAATCACCAACACAAAACAATACTCACAAACTCGCTGGAAACAATTTGCACCGATCCGGCAAAACTTTATAATTGATTAACTCCCTTTCAACTACTGAAAAACGGGGCATTGGTATGAACGGTAGTCTCCGAGTTTTTTTTTGTTTGTTCCCGATTGAGGAACATTCAGGAACAAAAAATATTGTTCACGCGCTTTCAGCAAAACATTGTTTTATGTTGATGGAAATAAATTTGTAATAATTTAAATATGTAATAGGCATGGATGGATTCAAAGTGAATAAAGTAGCCTCTAAAATTGAAGACAAATTTATATGAAATAAAAATATCTTAATTTTAAGGATGATAGTCAGAATTTACAGATTAGATATGGTTTGTTAGGCTTGCCGACATTTAGACCCAAGCTTGAGGGCCATCAGGAAGTAAAATTGAAAAAAACAAACAAATAACATAAGAAACATTAAGATATAAAATGAAGTGCATAAGAGAGCCAAAATAAAAAAATGAAAAGTACACATAAAGTATGCTAAGAAAGCTGATAAGCTACAATTTATATTTATTTTAATACTTTTTATCTGTTGTTTAATACTTGGGCATATTCTTTATGGTCACTAAATCCCTCTAAACACTAAAAATTCACCTAATTTATTCTAAGCACCTCAGGCGGATCTAAGGGGGAGGAGACTTTCGGGCAATAGCCCCTCTCTCCAAAAATGTTATAATACAACCATATCTTATAAAATAAATATTAAAAATCATCTCTCAGTATTATTACTGTTCGTGTAATTAAATTTAATAGGACTTCAAGATTCACTTAAACGCCATTTCATATATGTAGTTAGTTTCTTATTTTTCAAAAGTAATTATCGTTACGTATATATATATATATATATACATAACAAAAAACATTCGGACTGAAGCCACCTCCCTCCCAGAAAAAAAAACACATTAAATACTGGATACACTAGTGCTTAGCACAGTTGTTTTGTGTATACTTCTAATTTATTTGTGTCCTATTTATATATTCATTTTTTTTCTTTGCGTTTATATTACTATTATACTATTGAAGTAAGTTAGTCAACTGTTCTACATATCGTGGATGATAAGTAGTCAGGACGCAGTAATTTTAAAAAGTCAGTAAAAATGTTATCATCCTACTATTATATTATGTATAATTTCCATATTTTTCATCTTAGTTTACTTACGTTATTTATTCAACATGTTATTTCACAATTTTAAAATAACAGTAAACAATATATCTATCTTTATTTTATAATTTATGAATTCTTATTTTAGTAATTAATTTAATTTGGGGTAAACAAGTTTAATTTTTTTAATTAAACATTTTGCGAACTTAAATGGTGCAATTATATCTCATATACATTTCTTTTTTCTATTTGTTTCAGACTGTACAAAATTCCCGATTGTTGGACAACCTGGCCAAGAACCAAGACAAAGCAACAGGTGGACTAGTACCTCCGAACAAACAGGAACGCCTAGTTAGGTGGCAGAAGGAAGAATAGAAGATGACGCGAATGGCCTGGGAGAACACAAGCCTTTGTCTGCTGGCCAGCTGAAGAAAATCGATTTCGGCACGGGTCCTCGTGTGAGAAACCGGGAGGTGAACGACAGTGAACGCTCCAGGTTTCACACTTACAGGTCACCAGTAACTGTATCGTCGGTACAGTCGAGTGGGAACCTCACAAGTGTAAAAACAACGTATTTTAACAAATGGCGACTGATTGTAAAGCAGGGAAGAGTCCATACAGAAATTACGATCCTTATAAATCGAGACCATACGGAAATTAACGCTTCTTCAGGATCACAAAAACAAGTGAATTAAATAACATTATTTACTTATAAAAATGGTACTATCTCTCTGGAAAATGAAATTCATTGCAAACAATTTACAAAAAATCACTGCATATAACGCCCATACGTCAACGAGAAACGTGTCCACTATTTTTATCAGGTAAAAACGAATTCCTGAAACTGACGTAGCAAGTTACCTTAGACTTACATTCGAAAGAATGACTTGGAGCCTTTGCTGAAAATAATAACTTAAAAAAATTACTGAATTCCCTTTTGCCTAGATCATAAATCGAAAATTAGACAGAAACTGAACACATATTCTACGAACTTAAACCCATAGGAAAATACACTTCACAGTTTATGGTTCACCAAAAAAAACAAAAAAAAAAAAAAATATAAATCTCTTTTTAATTCAAAATTTTAAGACCAATATCTGCCACTCTCTAGTACGTAAATAATAAAACTCTACATACAGACTTCACATAACCAACTATCGACTAATACATAAGTACTCTTTATTTCTAATTTCAACATGAACTACACTGACACAACAAACATGTAAAGAACAAGGCCAAGGCTGATGCCCATTAAAAGCCAGTTAAAAAGAAGCTGGATTGGGAATCTTTCCTGAATTAATGAAGTGAACAAAGACTACGAGGAGATGCTGCTGCGAATTATCCCTCCCCATGCATGAAATGCCATTTGCTTGTCATTCATTATCAGGACGTTTGCTTATTGTATTTTCCGTCAGTGAATAATGTGAACAGAAAAAAAAGAAAAAAAGTGTCTAATAAAACGGTTATATGAAAAAATGAAACACCCATATATCAGCTATTGAACAACCAATGTTAAAACACAAATTGTGATAAAAATCCACTGTACCTCACGGTCTACCTTCCTTATCTGAAAAAAAAATCCCGAGCGTCATTAAGGAGAGGAGGTTGTTTACAGTCCGCACTAAACCCTAAATAGCATTTTTATTCAAAGAGACCCCGTTGATGATTTGGACTCACATCAAGCCACAACACAAATAGGGCGGTATTCAGATCTACATAAATAGAAAAGCAGCGTGGTAATGGCTAAACTAATTTTGGCAGGTAATTATAACTGACGACATCCCGGCCGTTTAATTACAAACTCGTCGTCTGAGACAATAACATTTATAGCGACATGGTACTTCCGTGAGCCGCTGCACATAGTGTGCGCTATTAATATTTTAAAATGGAGTTCTTAAGATAAATCGAACTGGCAGAATGAATACTCGCCAAGCTTTGTTCTGTTACCAGAAAAGTAAACTGACATATAAAGGTAAGGATGGACACAGCAAAAGTGCCGGCCTTCGGGTGGAGCAACCGGGGTATTGTCGGGGGCGCCCGCTGATCATGACATTTGTAAGAAATACAAAACGTATTAAAATAATTAATGTCAGCTTATCAATAAAACAACTATATTACAGAAATGTTGAATGAAATAAACTTCAAATATAAAACAGCTTAAGAAATAAATCCAATATTTTTATGGAGAGAGAAATAATGTCGTTTTGCTGAGGGGCGCCGAACGTCTTACGACCTCACAGTACCGCAACATACGTTACATACATCATTATACTCAACTTTCATTTTGGAGTTTTTGAACGTTACACTTGAATTCATCTAAGCTAAGCATCTGATGCTTGAAGACTCGGTAGATCTTCATAAGGAAATCAAGCATGTTATATAAGGTCTTGAGGAACGATAATCGTGTTATTTTTAAATTAAAATATAGAATTAACAATTGATTTTTTTTTTTTTTTTTATAAAACTATAATTTATAACATCTCATGAAAGTTTAAAAGGATAAAATTCTAATTATGATATGAATCACACCACGTTGTATTTTGCTTTTATTTATTTTCTTTTTTACCTCTTGATAAACCGATTCAACTAAAAGCATTTTCAACTTTTATTTTGTTTATCATTCCTAAAAGACCCAAATATTGACCCGGTATCCAGGGATGTGCTCAATTATGGCGGCCAGGTATCCATTCGAGATAAGAGATATTACTGTTATCTATTCTGGTCGATACTGATGGAGCATTGCTTAGATAACAATTCACACTTAATTTTTTTCCCTTTATCTTTTATAAAAATAAATTCACATCCCTTAGATTGAGCTTTTTACGATTTTGGAGTAAAAGTAGAAATAAAACAAAACTATCATTAATTATGTTAATTAATGATAATTGATAATAATAATAATAATAATAATTGATACGACCGACTAAATTGGTCCATGCGAACAATGTATTATCCAATTAGCATTCGCAAAGGTCCAGTGTATTATTGGAAATAGTTAACTAAAACATGTGTACTCATTCTGCAATATGCTCTATATTTGCTGAAAGTGATTAGAATCAACCTTTTTTTTTAAAAAGTATTATAAACACCTAAACCTGTACCACTACAACCCATGAAGGGTCTTGGGTTCAGTACTATTTAGGGAAAGCACTGTTTCTTGGTTTACGGTTGTGAAAGGAGGTGGTAGTTTGACCGAGATCACGCTCAACCGCCAGGTTTTTCCTCTTAATTCATTATTTTAATTCAGGGTACTCACTTTATAGAGGCTGGGTGTGACCCAGGGGGCCTACCTACCCAGGGCCGCCCCACAGCCAATAAAACAATAAATATTTTTTTGCCATGAGCCGGGATTTAAACCTGGGACACCTTTAGTATTGGAAGCTCAGTAAACTAACACTGGGCTACCCTACTCCCAATAATCATTACCGATCATAAATTTTTAATTTGTTCGCGAAAGAAGTTTTTTTATTTACATGATTTTTCTGCAAATTTTTAAGGTTAAGTAAGTAATAAGGAAGATATAGAGTACCGATAAAAAAATATTTCCAGAAATAATATAAACATTTTAATTTTCAAAGCTCTGTAAACCATAATTACTGTTTATTTACATATTTAGAAATTCTCATTTTGGTTTTTAAACTCTAAAAGGAACGGTTATGAAAAAAAAAAAAAAAAAGGAATATGAATATAAACAAGTAAATTATTAATAATTTCAGTATGAAAATTATATCATTTAGCAACCTCTTTGTGATTAAACGGAGATATTTTTGGACTGAATTTATCATTATTAATTTACGTTAAAAGGGAAAAAACAACTCTACAAATTAGTAAATTAATTTAAATATTGTTGAAGTAATTATTTATAAAATTCGATTAGTTGGCTATTGGTAAAAAAATTGGAAGGACATTGTGGATAAAAGCTAAACAATTGACATTCTTAAAAATTTGACTGTATATAGGTACGATTGTATTTTTATGTTTTTAATTTACTTATATTTAGGTTATTTTATTTTTTTTATTGTATATAGTTTTTATTTATTATTATTTAGTTATTGTTTTACTTTGTTAATTTTATTTATTTTTTTGTATATACGGTGTGAATGTGTTCATTTATCAATATAATTCTTGTCCCTGTGACAGAATATTGTATGTCTAAATAAATAAATAAAAATTTGATTAATTTAATAACAAAATAAAATAATGTATAAATAAATGTTTAGTATTTCACTTAAGACATATTAGTCAATATTAGGGGTTTAGAACCGATTCGATCAAGTGGCTAAGTCAGGATCCAGCAGCCGTATAAGCTAAACACGTATTTAAATTCTGTTTTCTAGGGCTTCAATCAAGGTGATTTGAATAAACTTTTATCCCTATAATTACTATAAATATTCATATTAATTACTATTCTTGCATTTATTCCAAATAAACACATAATGAGACGGAAGAAAGGGATGCTTGACTAGCCACGTGATTTATGCCTCTGCCAAGAACACTACTGAAGAGAGGACGTCTTAAAGGGATGATGTGATATTCATTATCTATTTAATAAATGCTAGATAGGATTTAGAAGCTAGGCAGCAATAAAATAATAGACAAAAGGCTAAGAGACGCTGGTAGCAGCGCACCTGGGCCGCGGCGGAGCGGCAACGCCGCAGCCCCGCGAACCGTGCAAGATCCGTAAATAATTGGCTCCTCTCGAACCTTTATTTCCACTCCGTGACAGCATCCACCCGTCCGGGGAGCAGGTAAAAAGTCTACGAGGCGAAGAATAACAACAAGCAGGTGACTCGCCCGGTTATTGAGGAGTTGCCACACCGCTCCTGTTCGATACCAGCAGGTTCGTGAACCAAGGCAGCGCAACCTTTCGCGGCAAATTGGCGGTCTGCATCACGAACAAGGTCGAGTGAAAGCCAAAACAAAACCCAGATGCAAATCGCAGGGGCCAGCTCCTGCCAGGGACTTTCTTTTCCTTCTAACCGATAGAGCACCTCGCCTGATAGCGCCGCTACCGATGCAGCATACCAACACCCGTATTACACAACCCCTGATAAGACAAACAGGCTCCTACAATCCCAGCTATGCCAAGAAGGAAGGGAGGCGTGCTATGCAACCAAGAGCCGTTAATGGACATAGATAGAATAGAAATCGCCAGCAACAATCTATCAGCAACTTCAAGCATTCTTAACTCTACTAAATAACTCTTCAATTATTTATACTTTGTCAGTTCTAATGACTAACTATTACATAGCTGCGGAACACGAGATCTATTTGAAAAAACGATTTGGGTGGCTTTTATAAAAACTTTGATTTGATGGAATATAAGCAGGCGACGGTGGCCGAAATTGCAAAAACGAAAAAAGAATTAACAAAATCGATACATGCATTGAAAAAACAAAAATACGATTGTAGAATTAAGTCTATTAAAGGTAAAGATTTGTTGAAAAGAGTAAATAAAAATATAAAGGTCTGCTTTAATAGTAACTTAAAGGATCCCCACACATGAAACCAATCAATACTTTATTTGAATTATTCTAGATAATTTTATATGAGTTAGTGCGAGACTAATTTTTTTAATCCTTAAGGTCAGCGATTATGCACACGATTTCTCTACCGCATTGTATTTTAAGAAACGAGAAGTTATAAATCATTCACTTCTTGAAGAAAGTTCTGTACTACATATCATGGGTGATAAATATTCAGGACGCAGTCTTTTTTAATTTGTTTTATTTTTGCCAACGTTTCAACCCTAACATGTGGGTGGGTCATCTTCAGGGCTGAAAATGTTTCTAAAAATTACAATCAGAGATATAATAGTATACGAACGCTAATTATAAATAATAAACTATAATGATTGATGATACATGAATCTTAACTAATATTGCACTAGTAATATTGCAATAATATTAAATATGTAAATATTTACACAAACAAAAACTAAAAAATATTTTAGTTTTAGTTATTTTTTAGTTTTAGTTTGTGTAACTATTTACATATTTAATTTTAATATGTGTATTGCAATATTAGTTAAGATTCATGCACCATCAATCACTATAGTTTATTATTTATAAATAGCGGTCGTATACTATTATATCTCTGATTGTAATTTTAAAAAACATTTTCAGCCCTGAAGATGACCCACATGTTTGAGTTGAAACGTTGACAAATATAAAAAAAATTTATCACATCCTGATTATTTATCACCCATGATATATAATTCCCTAACCTAATATAAAATACACATTGGTATAAGGTCGAGTGGACCCATACATTGCGAGTGTAAAAACTTACATTTCTCATCTCATTGCGTGTATCAAAAAATTACAAGGCGAAGATTTTACGATAACGAGTTCAGCGCTAAGTTCTTACACCAACAACAAAATTGTTTACAACTTTTTCATTTAAATAAGATTGATCTGCAAATAAAGGTTCACTACTATAGATTTAAATGAAGACGATCGAGAGGAGAGCGTAGACACATAAATTAAGGAGTAATGATTATTAAATAGAAATTAACATTTGATTACTTCCTTATGGCCTCTATTGTATTATCGATTTCCTAGTGACAACTGATTTAAAACGCCTTGTGCCGGTTACAAGGGCATTGAGCCATATTATAATTTATATTACAACAGTTCACCAGTAATCATAAACGTTTATCGACCCCGAGTTAGAATAAAATATCTTTCATTTACAAAATACAAAAGAATAATAAATAATCGTTATAAAAAAAAATCTGGTTTGCAGTGCCAATCTCTAAACTTTCACTTATCACCCTACTGAGGTATCTTCATATACCGGAAGTCAAAGTAAAATTTGTAAAATGTACAACATACTTATTTAAAACCATTATTTATCATATATTTTTTATCAATGTTAAATTCGTGTATTTCTCTTCACTACCCTTTTCTTTCTACAATTATATATGGTATTTTAATTATTTATTTCATCATAGAGTATAATTGAGGATATGATAAAAGTTTTTTAAAAATTTTTCATATCGCCGTAGTTTAGATAATTAAATATAAATAAATATCAAAGCTATCATTTATAAAATCCGCACATACAAGTTTTCTCGTTCCTTGCCTGTGATAAGAGCATATTATACGCGCTCGTAAGTAATCGTAAAATTTCGACCATCCTCGTGCGGCCTCGGTGTTTCTTGGAGCGGTCTTATCAATTCCCGGTTCTATCTTACTAAGTTTTTATGGAGAAATCAATTCTTATTTTATCTGTAATTATAATCGGCAAGGGGAATAAAAAATTATACTAAAACTTCACTCACGTTCTGAACCAACACGTTTACAAATTTTAATAAACTGTATCTTTCCTGATGATAGTCTGTGATCATTTATTTGTCGTTCTGTAGGGAATCTAATCATCTTTAAAATAACCATATGCTCAATCTTGGGATTTAATCAAGAATTAACAAAGATGTGAGGTACCAACAACACATTTGATTAATAATATGAACTCCTTATCTCTCGACCATAGAGACCTTAACTCGACGAAATGAGACATGTCTCCCATGGCAGCTCAACAATTAACGTGAGGTTGTTGGGCTAGGAAACGTTTGCCTTGCTTTATCCCGAAAATGGTACATTGTGGGCTTGAGAACGCAAGGCACTACCACGTCATGATGTTCGCTCAAAATTTCAATTTGCCCCGCATTGATTCATCGACTTACCACCGTTCTAGTATTGAGGCCCAATGAAATGTTTATATCGAATTAATTTATTTTAGCACGAAAAAAAAAGCTGAGAGTACGATTCTCGAACCACCGTAGAAATCCTGAATCCAACGGTACCGTTTGAGGAGTTATGAGGACAGGAACTTATTTTGGTATAAAACCGATTTCGAGCCTTACTGTAAGACAACTTACAGATTAATTAAACACAACTTAATTTTACATTGATGTAAAGAATTTAATTAAAATCGTTGGTGCAGTTTTTGAGAAATTGTTAAAACGTACGGGAGTGAACGCACCAGTTATGGACAAGTTGGACATTAAATGTAAATAATAAGCTTCCTTGTTGATTTAAAGTTTCCAGTTTTGTTTCTAGAATGAAGAATAATGTCCTCTATTGACAACTGTATGAACAAAGTTCCCAAAGAAAATTTTAGAATGGCTATCATTGTTAATTCTACAGTGCTCTTGAGTTGAGTGTATTTCATCATTTCCTATTAACAGTTTTGCTACGAGTAAGTTGAACATTTATGTTATCTTGTCTTTATAATTAAATACAAATGTTTAGAATTTTTCTGATATATACATTATTGGTACCGAACCCCTGTCCATTACTAGAACAATTAAATTTCGGGGTGTCCATCACTAGTGCAAAAACGTGTTGTTGTTTTTTTTAATGGCGGTTATATCTGCATAACTGAATATTATTTAAATTTCAAAGTGTTAAGAAAAAGTAGACCCCAAATATTCTAAATGTCCAAAGGAGAAGTTAATAACTATAATAATTACGGCGGCATAATCCAAAAATTTCCTTAGCTATGTACGTTAATGGTTCGATTACAATACATCAAAATGTGGATATTCGTTGAATAGACGAATTCGCAAATTTTGTACGATCACAATACTTATACTTACTAAATATTTCACATATTAAGGTGAACGGACATAAAAATATAAGCAGAGTTAAATTTTGAAGTTTCTGGTTTTGTAATACTGGCCAAAGTAAGGGGAGGAAGCGTTGGAATGGGAAACATCGGAAAGAAATGATATAGCGAACGGATGAGATAACCGAAGCGATAAAACGACCCGGAGAGGATTGAGCAGCCATTCCAATTAAAATGAAAGAGAGAAACCATTTGAGGAGATGGTAAGACCAGACTTGGCAGACTGCAGACTGATTGTGCCTGGACATCCCATCGGTCAGATTAATCAAGGAGGCACGGATGATGATGGATGGCCGTGGCCCTGAGTAATGAGAACACAGTCTAATCCAAAGACAACATTTGTCTTCGGCTACCGGCTATTTATCTGACTCCTGGAAATAGTCGTATCGTCGGGCTAATAGGCAGATAGCACGGAAGCCACGCCCTGTCCACCTACCGACCAATCACATTTGCCCAAGGTGGTGGCCTCCCCAACACTTTGAAATATTGAGGCCTAATGAACCGAAGAAAGGGAGTCTATTCCCCTTTTAAAAGATATCGGAACCACGCACCACAGAACCAATAATACACAAGAATTAAAGAAGAACATTAAATCAACTTGGAAACAATGTAGGTAGTATTCGGGTTGTTATTCATTTAATTAATGTAAAATGTAGGTGTGAAGTAGTTGTTTTAATGCGATTAATAAATATAGGAAGGAGATGGTCCGGGGTGGCGTTCATAAATAGACTAAATAGGGGTAAAACTATTTTTATTAAAAGCCGACGTTTCGACCCGACTTTGCAGGTCTTCTTCAGGGCTAGAACGGACAAAATAAAAAGAGATAAAGAATTGTGAAAGTTACATAATATTTAGACAAAAAATCATAAACAGTAAGTACATTAAAATATGAACAGAGTAAGCTAAGTAACAAGATCCTAAACTAAAGTAAATAGATGCTGACAATTGTAGTGTAATATATAATAAATGCAAATGTGATTATGTTAAATGTGAATAAGCTACCCCGGACTATCTCCTTCCTTTATAATGCAATGGTCAACTATTAAATATTAGATTAATAAATATATTTTTTTTATTGAAAATATTACAATATGTCTCAATTAAGGACAATATTAAAAGTGATGAAACAGAATATTCAAATATAATTTCGAAAAATTAACAAAACAGCAGTCTAAATTCATAAGGCTAGGCATAAAAAAAAGTAAATAGAAAAAATAAAATAAAACAAAGATTCTCTACAAACAAAGACAGAAAATAATGTATGTAAAACAGGATTTTATCAGAAATATTGTTAAGAATACAAACAACTTTTAATGTATCACAGACATAGTATAGAGAAATAAATTAATACAATGTATGAGTAAGATCAAACATCAATCAATTAATTAGTAAACTAACAGAACTTGAATTTTTTAAGTTTTACAGCTCAAATCAGACCAATCACCAACCGATTACATCATTTTATACAACACATATAAAATATTAACATATCAGTTTCTGTTCAAATAA